AATGTAGGTTGCCTGAATTTATCTTCTTTAAATTTTATTTTCCATTGCTTACACCACGTCTCAGTAGAACTGAGACCTCGCTACATCTATCTGTCATTGTTAAACGAACTGGGAGCCTGTACTGACAGACCTGTTTTGTGAAATTCCTGTTGTGGTAGATGTTGCTACACGGGGTGCCGGACTCTTTTCCACTCTGTCTGCGGTGCCTTTGGTTACTGTTGTTGATTGTCTTGCCGCAGTGCNTTGACACCGACATATAAGTCACTCATTGCCTGACTAATATCCTAGGCTTCTACACGATCCTAGTTTCCTACCCTAAGGGCTCACCGGTTACACGGGAGTTTGCACATTGAAAATAACTCCACAACACCGTTATCACCAATACTATTAAACAACGATATTATCAACCAGCATGGCAGTTATGCGTAAATGAGACTTACTTGACATAGAAGACTGTAGGCCCTTCCAGCACTTGTCAAACCCATGTTGAAGAGAGCCTTCGGCTGACAACTGAATATTCTGTGTTAGAACATGATCCAAATCCCCCGAAATTCCCTAATTTATGGTTTTATTTCGCTGATTCAGCGTTGACGACAGAGGGTAGGTGACTCCCCCTCAGTGTCCTCAATCCTCATAATAACCTCCTCATTGGCTCTCATGGGTGGTTGTGGGCGGACCCCTTGCGTCTTATTGCTGTGTATGCGGTCTCACACGATTAATCCGGTGACCGAGTGAGGCAAGCTCTTGCTCTGCGATTACATAGACCTGCTGAGCCTCCACATTCTTAACCTAATTGCCAGTCCTGGTGTTTACAATGTACTGTAATGACTGCGAAACGCTTTTCGCAAGTCTCTAACTTTTGGGTAATACCATACCCTCTCCAATCTCAAATTTGGGCCATAACAGGTAGACTTTTGTTAGCTGTGAATAAACCCCACTTTACAGCCGTCCCAAAACCAGGACTTGTACAAACATAAGAGATTCTGCTACCAAAATATTTTTGATGCAGTATATTCTCATATATAAATAAAATGTTTTGGATTCTCTTCACGTAAGATTGAATCAAAATGATATCCAAAGCATATGTTTGTCCCTCACAATATCACACTTTGCACATTTAAATGTCTCAAACGATGATCCGTTAAACAAAGTTACAAGTGCAACAAAAAATGAATTTGTTACGAAATTTGTTCATTTTAAAATTAGACTCAGTCACTTCCTGCCGACAGGCCAGGTCAGAGATACTGGGTATCATATTCAATATTTCAGTCATAAAAACGATAAATATAAGAATGTTATGAACAAGGCCCACATCTTGATGACATGTCATTTTATTCCATGTATCCTTTTCGATGCCTGTAAATACATAAATCCCGAAAATGAGCTACTGGTCAGAGAAATGTAACTTTTATTGGTCATTTTTTTGTCATTTTTCTTCAGTTTAAGTTTCAGGTCATTTTTCGGAAAATTTCTGATTTTAATGGTATGTTTTGTCATTTTGTCACTTTATTGAATACTTTTTTTTTCTTTTTTTTTCAGAAATGTGAATGATTTTCAAGTAAAGTGTTTTTCCTCCTTCTCTTTCTCTGCCTCTACAAAGGCTGCCAGCACCTGCAACCCAAATACTTCCTACCTAAGTATGGAATAATAACATGTATTACTGTCACAACCTTTCCGTCCGTCTTTCGGAAAGTGCTGTATTACATACCATAAGACATTTTAAGCTGGCAGCAGGGACTCTCACTGCGTCCCTTTCCAAGTTTGCGCTAAGAAATTTGGTTATTACAAATATTTCTAGTCGAGATCCCTCATTTTTTAAAACATATTTTTTTCTCAGGATAACTCCTACTGTCTTCAGTTTCTCGCCCTTAACCGTACACACAAAGATACAGTTAACGAAAAGTTCTCAGTGTGAAAAGTTGATTACAATGTTGCACTAGAGCGATTCATTTTATCACAATGCCTAAAGCAAAGCCATCTAAATCGTGTCATTTAGAGAACATTTTAACTGAATTTGGAGATGATATATTTTAAACTGACTGTAACATTTTATACTGTAAGATGTGTGACACACTATTTGCGGCAGAGAAACATATTTCACTGTGCAACAACATATCGGACGCAACAAACATAGTATTGTATCGTACTGTATTGTAACCGAATTCAAATGTTGCAGGTACAAACAGGGTGACGATGGTTTGTTCTGGCATGAGACTCGAAAACCTGAAATGAAGGAAGTAAAGGACTTGGGAGCCAACCCGTCATTGTATGACGGTAGCAACACACGGTCAAATGGCGCAGATGACACACTTGCACAGGGGTCAGGAGGAAACATGTTTGTTGCACTGCAATGGAACATGTTGTCAGTTGGAATTTTGTATGTAGAGAAGTTACAGAGTCCCCTCTGTTGCATGTCATACCCATGTTTCACCATATTATTCATTCTGATTATAAGAGAAATTACCAAAATACCTAACAATGTTTTGAAACTGGAAAGGAACTGGTGTGGTGTTAGTCTCCATGTCTAGACACTTTGGGATGCAGACAGTGAAAATGGTTACATGCTCAGCTGGGGTTCTGTAGTCCTAATCCCTCTTCCACTCATGAAGTGTTTAATTCATGTTTCCCATCTAGGCTTACATACAAGATTAATCTATCTGCATCCATCTCGCCTGCAGGCAGTCCTGTCAGGAAACCCGTCAATTTTCACCCCATGCACCAGTGGCTTGTAGTATGTATCAATATTGCTCATCACTGAATTGGAAAGGAATAATGTCACTGGGCTGCAGGTATAAGAAAGCCTAAAGGAAGTAGGTAATTACGAAATTAAAGTGCTTCGCTATATTGCACCAGAAGCCTCATTGAGTCATTACAATTTGCATGCCATTATGCTTGTCTACCATGTGGTAATCAGTCATTAAATGTACAGCACTGAAGTGGTCTCTAGTGGCATAATATGTATACCACATTTCAGGAAATTTGGTCAGAGTGCATACTGCATATCCCATCTACAATTAAAAACAAAGTTCTTTGTCCAAACCATTTTATTATTAGACTCATTAGTAATGTATTTACTTCTCTTAAGAACATAAAAAGACACTGACATTTTTGTTATGTCAAAACATTTGAAAATATTTTAACGTGTACAGGTAGGAAACGGCGTGATAAACATCTTGCCTAAGCGCACTCAACAATAGAGCACATATTTAAAGCTCGTTTTTAGGCAAAATTAGCACAACAATGGATTAGCGAGGTTGCTATAATATGACTGGCTTGTCGACTTCAAAAAAAGGATGGCCAAGTGGAAAGTAGCCGGAGAAAAATGAACGCTGAACGGAAATCCGACCAAGAAGAAGTGACGTCAGGGCTGGAAGCCATTCATGACAAATATAGAAACCAACCAGATGATTAATGCCTGAACGCCTGGATAGCGGTCATCACGGATGATCGAGAAGAGACAGTGCTCTACCAAGTAAAGATGGTGGCACGTCTGGAATGCGAGGAGCCAACCTCATAGGACATGATGTCCTACCACGAGACGACCGCCTGCCACGAAGCGACGGAAGCAGATACAGAGAAGACTAAGCCCAATCTAGGAATGATGCAATCCGTTGACTGGCATCAAAAATGTGCAGTGAAGCCGGTCGGAGGACTGAGGAAGCGGCGTAGGGACAAGAACCTGGCAGCGGAACGCCGCCAGAAGCCGAAGGAAAGGACTCGAGGATATTGTGGATCCCGGAAGAGAGTGGTCGTTAAAGGCAGGATAATTACTCACTGTACACGAGTGGCATGGCTCAGGAGAGGCGTCTTCAGAATGGATTGCACCAGGGCCAAGGCTAAGAGAGCAACCAAGAGAGTAGGGCTGCTCAGGAAGCATTTACGGACGCACTATGAAGGAAAAAGAGCAACAAAGCGACCGCTATATCTGAGAAAAAGGAGGGCAAACGAAATCCGCATCGGAGGTTGGAGTTCTAGTCAGCTATCATCTCTGGGAATCAGACCCTAAAGAAGATCCTACGCTAGGAATTCGTGAAGCGAGCAAACGGGACGTCCATCGGTTTCGGAAATTGAGGAAATGAACCTTGTGGAGACGTCGTCCAATTCCGAAACGGAAAAATAAACTCCATACGGAGAGAGAACTGTACTCTGGGATTTGTGGCCCGCACTGTAAAAAGGGAGAAATGTTTTGGAAGCTGGTGAAATATTTGGATCTACTGACACCTCAGCAATTAACAGCTCGAGACGAGCTTGCCTTAATGAGGGATTGTGGTAGCAGGTGGAGAATTGTAGCTACAGAAGTAGAAGATCGAGACCAGACGTCGGAAGCACAGCCCTCGGAAAAGGAACGGTGATGCACCGATTAGCTACTCAGGTTAGCGCAAGTTCATAGCTTGATTCTGGGCAACAGCGAGCGCGCCAATATACTTTCGAGTGACTGGCTTTCTTTGGAGTCCGTGCGACGACCGTTGCTATGTAATGGTTCTGTAAACACTTTCTTACAGTAGTGTCTGTGTTTTTCTTCGTGATTGGCGCGGAGGAAATATAGGACAGTTAAAAATAAGAAAATTATGCAGGCAACAAGCCGAAATAATACAAAATCATGATAAATAATGTTCGCCATATTGGAAATGGCGAAACCGAAAATTTAAGAGTCTTAAACTTGGCGCGATCAAGCATACGATCGTGCCAGTGACTAGACTGCCGTTTGCTACATATATCACTGTGTGAGGGTAGATATTACTTCAGATGACTCTTCTCACTGAATGATTTATTGCACACGTCACAGCAAAATGGCCGCTCCCGCTTTGTACGCGTCGGTGTCTTCAAATTACTCTGCTTACTGAGTGACTTATTGCTCACGTCACAACAAAATGGCCGCTCTCCCCTGTGTATGTGTTGGTGTCTCTTCAGATTTCTCTGAACGCTGAATGACTTATATCACACGTCACAGCAAAATGGCCGCTCGCCACTGTGTATGTGTTGGTGAACCTTCAAATTACCCTTCTTACTGAATGACTTCTTGCACACGTCACAGTAAAATGGACGCTCACCGCTATGTATGAGCTGATGTCTCTTCAAATCACCCTGACGAATGAAAGACTTCTTGCACAGGTCACAGTAAAATGGCCGCTCATTGCTATGTATGCGTTGGTGAGTCTTCAAATTATTCTGCTGACTGAATGACTTCTTGCATATGTAACAGCAAAATGGCCGCTCCCCTCTATGTATGCGTTGGTGAACCTTCAAATTACACTTCTTACTGAATGACTTCTTGCACACGTCACAGTTAAATGGTCGCTCACCGCTATGTATGAGCTGATGTGACTTCAAATCACCCTGACGAATGAAAGACTTCTTGCACAGGTCACAGTAAAATGGCCGCTCGTCGTTATGTATGCGTTGGTGATACTTCAAATTACTCTTGTTTCTAAATGACTTCTTGCACACGTCACAGTAAAATGGTCGCTCACCGCTATGTATGAGCTGATGTGACTTCAAATCACCCTGACGAATGAAAGACTTCTTGCACAGGTCACAGTAAAATGGCCGCTCATCGTTATGTATGCGTTGGTGAACCTTCAAATTACTCTTCTTACGGAATGACGTCTTGCACAGGTCACAGTGTAATGGTTGCTCACCGCTATGTATGAGCTGATGTGTCTTCAGATCACCCTGAAGAATGAAAGACTTCTTACACACGTCACAGCAAAATGGCCGCTCCCCGCTATGCATGCGTTGGTGATACTTCAGTTCACTCTGAAAACCGAATGACTTACTACACACCTCACAACAAAATAGCCGCTCCCCGCTGTGTATACGCTGTTGTATCTTCAGATCACTTCGACGATAGAATGACTTATTGCACACGTCACAGTAAATTGGCCACTCATCGCTATGTAAGCGTTGGTGAGTGTTCAAATTACTCTGCTGACAGAATGACTTCTTGCACACGTCACAGGATAATTGCCGATCCCCGCCTGGTATGCGTTCGTGACTGTTCAGATGACTCTGAACACAGAATGAGTTATTGCACACGTCACAGCAATATGGCCGCTCGCCATTATGTATGCGTTGGTGTCTTTTCAAATTACTCTGATCACAGAAAGACTTATTGCACACGTCACAGGAAAATGGCTGTTTGCCGCTTTGTGTACGCTGATGTGTCTTCAGAAGGCTCTGACGACTGAATGTGTTATTCCTGATTTCACAGGAATATGGTCGCTTCTCCCCAAACGCAGGTTGAAATTTATTTGGGATAGCCTGCAAAACGAGAAGATCTATAATGAATAACCCTATTACGTGGAGAAATACCTTTGAAATCTATGTACATATAGGGGTTTAGGGGGGTTAATTTCAAAGGGGTCTCCGAAAGCAAGGCGTAAGGAGGGAGGGCGTGAGTGCCCGCTAACATGTACATCAGTTTACATAGCAGTCTGAAAAATGTAAAGTTGCCTTGTGTATAACGAAATAAACACTGCGCCATGCAGACGTATGTGTGGGTGGATATATATATCACGTTTTATTTACCCCGGCTCTAGTTGAAGGTGAGTGGTCAGCTTCACGATCTGGCTGCTTTATCCCCCCGGGAAAAGACGCCCTTCACCCATTGAATACTAGTTTGGGTAGACACAGGTGTAGTCCGAACGACATGGAGGAGTGAAAATTCTTGCCCCTTCCTGTACTCGAACTTCGACTCTTTAGTCTTCCAACCCGTAGCCACTTGCTATACCGACTGGGCTACCCCTGCTCAGACAGTCTATGAGGGAATAAAGGTCGAGGTACACTTCCATTTCGAAACAAATTACAAAATGAAATATTATTTTGCATTTCTATGCCGTCTCTGTGGTGTAGTGGTCAGAGTTTCTGGCTACAGATCCAGAAGTCCGTGTTTGATTTCCGGCGCTACTAATTTCTTTCCCGAGAATAGTGGGCCTGGAACGGGGTTAGATTGTTCGCTTGCGGACTGAAATCATGGAATTTTTTAATGCATTGAAGGCTGTACAGGGGTCTGGTTAATGGCGGAGTTAAGAAATGATTTGAGGAAATAATGTAACAAGGTCCGATGCTCAGACCCGGATACCGCAATACTGTGAATGTACCCATTTCAGTATCCTCCTAGAATGCCATGGTACATTCGTCGGCATACGTGCAACACCACGTTCCACAAACTTATCACCTTTACAAGTTAAAAGTTTATTAAATTTTCAAAATACACTACAAATTCCACCAACTCGGCCATGATCAGGTGTTGAATATATCTAATGAGGTATGTAATGGCGCAAGGGTTATGTACAAGTAGATATGTTTTTTGGGGGTAAATTTGGAATAAGAATATCTAGACTTTAAGATTAAGAAACAGAAATGACGAAACGTACCAGGAAGCTTGGGTTTGCAAAGAAGTGTAACAGGCAATAGCTTAGTAATCAGAATGTTAGCGCGACAGCGTAATAACGCTGACATTGAGGAAGAGGCTATATGAAGTAGGTCATAAACACTATGGCATGAGGAAAACGATGAGTCGGAGAAGGCGGTAGACCTGAAAGAGCCAACCCCCTTACGATAAACAGCCAATGAATGGGCCACACCGACCCAAATTTACGTCAGGATGGGCGGGTGAATAAACCCCCGGCACCCATCGAGTCGGCTAAAAGAGGGTACATAAACTCTAGAGAAATGAATAAAAAACATTTTAATATTATTAATTGACATAGAGTTCAGCAGGAGGCTATCGGTTGGTTGGTGATGGCGAGCGTCCTTTTCCTCAGATCAAGTAAGTGAACCAACGTCATATAGCCATGAACATTAAGTGTGATAATATTAAAGTGCAAACCCCAGGGAGAGAAAGTGAAAACTAGATGGACTAGATTTACTGAGAGAGATAGATAGAGGTATTGGGTACCCAACAACAGGGTGACAGGAGATAGAACTAATGTGTGTACTACAGGGTCATAACCAAATATAATGCGAACCGACAAACGTCGGCAAAGTGTGTATATATTATGTAGATAGCCACATAGATGAATAGAGTAGGATAGAAATGCGCTGTGATATTAATTAAAAAAAGCATTCCCTCAAGTGTTACCGTCTTCCCTGACGACTCCAGTACCTCCCGAAGCTTCGGCGAATTGCGAGTTAAAGCCAGGACCAGTGACGTAAGCGATCGATAAGTTTACTTGAGTTTTCTTGACAGGACAAGATGGTGGTAGCATACTAAACCGGGTGACAGAGCAGGATACCTCCACGCCCCCTGTCACACGGCGTAACCGTGCTGACAGCCGTGAGTTAACAATCCACCCATGTCGCAGGGGCGTAACAAGGTAATCGCTGCTTTCCTTGTTACTGATGCATTTGCTGTCTCTCTGATGCGTGTGTGTGTAACATGTGTGACTTTTCTGTTAGAATTCACGTATGTGAAGTTCTTTGTGTGTGATGTGGTTATTCATTTGATTTCATACTGTGGTTGATGTGTTATGCTCCTCCCTTTTGTGTTCTTCATTGTGTGTCTTTTCCCTGAATGTTAACCGGTTTGGACTAACCCTCCTTTTATGAAATATATTGGTCACTATATGTTGTTTATCCGGTCACGGTAGCCGAGCGGTCTAAGGCATGCACTGTCTTCTCTCGCTCGGAAGCCGGGATCGTGGGTTCGAATCCCACTCAGGGCATGGATGTTTGTGTGAGTTTTCTGTGTTTGTCTACATATAGAGGCCTTGCGACGAGCTGATCACTCGTGAAAGGAGTCCTACCGTATGTGTAAGATCGAGAAAAACCGAAGTGAACGGAGTTCATGGAGGTAGGCCTAGGCCCACTGGGGCTGTAGTGCCAAGGGGGAAATAAATGTTGTTTAACTCTTGTATTACTTCGAATATTGGGTTATGATATCGATGAATGTGTCATTTATCTGCAATCCGTCTTTACTCATCTTATTTTTTAATGGTATTTCCAGATCATTCAGGGCCTTGGCCTCTTATTCAGTTCCGAAATCATTTTTCATAGACGGTAGGTCTCCTTGGACGAGTGATCAAAACGTCGCAAGGCCTCTACCTAAAGACAAGACAGCACAAACACTGTATAGACGCATAGACACACCGACCACCCATGCCTTGATTGGGATTCGAATCCACGATGCCAGCGTCCGAGCGAGCGAAGACCGTTCGTACCTTAGACCGCCCGGCTACTGTGACCGCCTTACTAGTATTATATAGTATACGGCATTTTCCCAGTGTGTTGAGATGTTTTCCTTTTTTCTGTTTTCAATATTTTCATGTTAATAGTTATACTTTCATATGTACGTCCTGTATTTATTGTGTGGTTGGAGTATACTGAGTTTATGTTATTAATCACTTCTGACTCCAAATTATCATGTGTCCGGGGTTCCTTGACAAATAATTGCGGATTCTTAGTTTCGAGTGTTGGGTTTATTGGACGATACTAACACAATTATACTCAATTATAACAGTTCACACACTTTCTGTGTTGTCTCCTACTTCTCTTCTGAACTGTGCTTATAACTGTTGGTTTAAATTCCGATTTCGAAACAGTCCTCTCACGTCTATGTGCAATTCTGACCTGTTTCATAACTGCTTGGCTTGCCGACTAGTGAACACAGAATCGAACACTTCATCCCTCCTTGGTCATGAAAACGTTCCTTCCGTTGTTATGAGAACACACTTTTACTTGGCCGTTGTGATGAAAACGTCATCTCGGTAGCGCAGGAAACGTGACTACCGGGCCGTTGTCTATCAATGTACTTCTGGTCTGGCTCAGATAATACGGCATTTAGGCTGAACGCCACAATATATTTTTGTATATTTTTTATTTGTAATGCATGATCAGCAATCAGAATACAGTGCATTCTATAAGCTAAAGTGTTGATCCGTTCTAGGTATCCTAGCTACAGCTGAAGTGTGTTGAGGTTAACGTCCAGTGATGTTACCTCAGAGTTTTCAATTATTACCTGTTGGCCACTGGCTCTTGAGTCTCCTGTTAACTGGTTGTAGTATTTGGCTGAATAGTGGATTTGGGTGATCTTCTATGATTTGTATGTGCCTGGCAATCCTTTTTTGATGACCTCTTGGATTGTAAGGATACGGGGGTCATTGTGAAATGTGTAATTGGTTATTTACCACGGGGCGCTCACTATTTGTCGGAGTAATTTTGACTGCTGTCTCTGTATGATGGCTGTGTTGGATTTACTGGCAATCCCCATAGTTCAATTCCGTACGTCCTTATTGGTTTGATGATAGCTTTTTAAATTAGGATCTTGTTTTCCATTGTCAGTTTTGACTTCCTGCCAACCAGCCAGTTTAGTTCTTTGTTTCTCATTACTCTATGGTTTTTATTTTTTTGGATATACTCTCTCCAGTTTATTTTGTTATCCAGGTGTAACCCTAGGTACTTTACAGTGCTTTTTTGTGGTATTAAGATATTGTTGATTCGCACTGTTGAACTGTCCCCATTCTTCAATCGAAATATTACATGCGTTGAGTTAGCCTCATTTACTTTAACCCTCCATTTGTGCATCCATTGTTGAAGTAGATTGAGGTGTTGTTGTATGTAGGATGCTGCTGTTGATATATCTTGGTGACTTGCAAATATAGCTGTATCGTCAGCGAATGTCCTCATTACAGTTTTTTGTGATGTTGGTAGGTCGGATGTGTATAGTATGTAGAGAACTGGTCCAAGTACACTCCCTTGTGTTACGCCTGAAGTAATTGTATAGTTTCTGGAAG